CTGAATGCCCATATATCGCCACCATTGTGAAGAGTGACCACTGAATGCCCATATATCACCACCACTGTGAATACTGACCACTGAAAGCTCCATATATCACCACCATTGCCCATTTATTACCCCTGTATTGTGATGACTGACCACTGAATGCCCATATATCACCACCATTTCCCATTTATTACCCCTGTATTGTGATGAGTGACCACTGAATACCCATATATCACCACCATTGTGAAGACTGACCACTGAATGCCCATATATCACCACCATTGCCCATTTATTACCCCTGTATTGTGAAGACTGACCACTGAATGCCCATATATCGCCACCATTGCCAGATTATTACCCCTGTATTGTGAAGACTGACCACTGAATGCCCATATATATCGCCACCATTGACCAATTATTACCCATGTATTGTGAAGACTGATCACCAATACCCATATATCGCCACCATTGTGAAGACTGACCACTGAATACCCATATATTGCCACCATTGCTCATTTATTACCCCTGAATTGAGAAGACTGACCACTGAATACCCATATATCACCACCATTATGAAGAATGACCACTGAATACCCATATATCACCACCACTGTGAAGAATGACCACTGATTACCCATATATCACCACCACTGTGAAGAATGACCACTGATTACCCCATATATCACCACCATTGTGAAGACTGACCATTGAATACCCATATATCACCACCATTGTGAAGACTGACCACTGAATACCCATATATTGCCACCATTGCTCATTTATTACCCCTGTATTGAGAAGACTGACCATTGAATACCCATATATCGCCACCATTGCTCATTTATTACCCCTGTATTTTGAAGACTGACCACTGAATACCCATATATTACTTGGGATCTCCCTGGCTTTAACCTAGGGACCGGGCTGGTGCAGGAGAGCCAGGAACAGGAGTGGGACTGTGCTCTTTCCTCCTTCAGGACCTTCCTCTGACCACAGAGAGGACATATTTGGCCAGAAGGAGATGGAGACTACTGCCTGGAGTGGCGATAGGCAGATAGACTTGGTTCCAGTTATTGCATATGCACTTTATTGGTTATGTATTCCCACCATTGCCCATTTATTGCCCGTGCATTGTGAAGCCTGACTATTACATAGTTATTCTGGCTGAAAAAAGACAAATGTCCATCCAGTTCAACCATAGAAAAAAAAAAAGTTATCATCCTACATCCACAGTTGATTCAGAGGAAGGCAAAAAAGGAAGGCTACTTTGCACAAGAATGCTGTTGGTGCCCAAAGCCCCTCCCATCCCCCTTCCTTCAGCCCCTTCATGTGTATAAATGTACTGCACGGCTTCAGGTCCTAAATGAGCCGTGCACATGCGCAGGTGTCCACGAACATTTGCGCATGTCCGGGATTCCCAAACCTTTGCCATCTTGTGCAGGAAATCTACATTGTGCGTGTGCAGAAGGGCTCTGCCAGAACCCACAAGCCAGGCAATGCCCTTCAGCACATCTATACATGCGCAATAATGGCGGCGCTGGAAGAGGGTGGGCGGAGCCACTAAAGAAGGGACTGGAGTTCCTCTTTGAGCACCCTCAGCCCTGAAGGATAGCAGTGGGCTGGCTCTTGGGAGGAGTTATGCAAATATTGAAATGCCTTGAGGGGTAGATGTCAGTAGAGAAGTGGGTGTTATTAGGCAGGCTGGATTTCCATAGGTAACGCCCACATATGATGCAGAGCCTCCATGATTGAAAGAACTGAAATCCAATGAATGAAAGGGGCGGGCCAGTGACAGTCAAGCCGGGGTGAGTGTTCCTGGCACGCCTACTTGATGATGCCGGACGTCCTCCAGCCAGGAAATGAGGCGGAACTCCATTTGACTTGCTGCAGCTTCTAATGCACATTGTGAGAAGCTTCCATTATCACGTGGGAACGTGCTGCAGCTTCTATCGCACATTGTGAGAAGCTCCCAGTGTGCGCTGGGAATGTGCTGCAGCTTCTAATGCACACTGTCAAGCGCTCCCAGTGTGCAGTGGGAACGTTCTGCAGCTTCTAATGTACATTGTGAAAAGCTCCCAGTGGGCGGTGGGAAACGTGCACACTGCAGCTTCAGTAACGTGCTGCAGCTTCTAACACACTGTCAAGCGCTCCCAGTGTGCAGTGGGAACGTTCTGCAGCTTCTAATGCACAGTGTGCTCCCAGTGTGCAGTGGGAACGTGCTGCAGCTTCTAATGCACACTGTGAGATGCTCCCAGTGTGCGGTGGGAACCTTCAGTACAGAATCTCAGGCTCCCGGTTCAGAAGTACGCCCATTGCTGCACCTACCCACATTTCTTGCAGTCCTACACCCCCCTAATTCTCATTCACTGATGGACTTCCAGGTTGAAAAGTTTGACTTGCCGTGACATTAAAACTTATGGCTACTTTCATGGCCCGACTGGCGCCAATCACAGCAGTCTGGGGAAATGCGCGGGGCGGGTTGGGGGCCACGCGAGGGACCTGCCCCAGCTGTCTTGTTGGTAGTCAGACGTTCCGACATTAAAGAATGAGAGCAGCCATGTTCCCGCAGAGATCCCGGCGATTTAGGAGTCCCAGATCGAGACGCTGTGCCAGGCGGATAAGTGGAGCGGAGCTGACCTTCCTCGGAGCCCGGTGGTGGGGGGGGGGGGGGGGGGGGGCACTTTTCTGGGAAGCTCGGAGGCTCTCGCTAAATTCCACCACGCTGCCACCTCAATTATTTATAAGACAGACATATGGCGAACAAGACGAGAGCCGCTTCTCTGCCGCGCGCTCCCAGCGCAGGAGCCGACGGGCCGCTCTCTCGAGGTGAAGTCAAACTTAGAGGTGAACTCCAAAGAAGTCTCAAACTGCGTCTTATTTCTTATTTATGGGTCTGTGAGGGGCGAGGCCGAGGATTCCTTCATAAAGGAAAGGACATATTCTATGTGATATGGAAAGGAGCGTCTGTCACCGGGAAAAGCACCATAAGGGCCCCGCTCACCTGAACCTCCTCCCCATGGGCCCTACAGGACGCGCAAGGCTTTGATTAACCCCTTCTCCCACCAGACATAAACAGAGGATGGGCCCTAGTCCTCATTCACACGGGCCCTACAGGACGCGCAAGGCTTTTATTAACCCCTTCTCCCACCAGACATAAACAGAGGTGGGCCCTAGGCCTTGTTCACATGGGCCCTACAGGACGCGCAAGGCTTTGATTAACCCCTTCTCCCACCAGACATACACAGAGGTGGGCCCTAGGCCTCATTCACACGGGCCCTACAGGACGCGCAAGGCTTTGATTAACCCCTTCTCCCACCAGACATAAACAGAGGTGGGCCCTAGGCCTTGTTCACAATGGGCCCTACAGGACGCGCAAGGCTTTGATTAACCCCCCTTCTCCCACCAGACATAAACAGAGGTGGGCCCTAGGCCTTGTTCAAATGGGCCCTACAGGACGCGCAAGGCTTTTATTAGCCCCCTTCTCCCACCAGCCATACACAGAGGTGGGAGGTCACACGGGCCCTACAGGACGCGCAAGGCTTTGATTAACCCCTTCTCCCACCAGCCATACACAGAGGTGGGCCCTAGGCCTCATTCACACGGGCCCTACAGGACGCGCAAGGCTTTGATTAACCAATTCTCCCACCATACACAGAGGTGGGCCCTAGGCCTCATTCACACGGGCCCTACTACAGCGTACATCCCTGACTATACGTGGATGCATAGCTGTTCCATGCATTCCCGTTCATTTCAGTTGGGACAGACACAGCCGCTGCTCCCGATAGGACAGCGGTGCAGGTGCATGGCCCAAAACGCACACAGTCCTTCAATTTGACACCCACATGGCAGTCAGACTGGGACAAAAAGACTACAGGGAGGGAGGACACCTTCCGCTTCCGATCGCCTAGGCTAGGGGTGGGCAACCTGCGGCTCTCCAGCTGTTGCAGAACTACAAGTTCCATCATGCCTCTGCAAGTCATAGCTGTAACTGTCAGTTCTGCAATGTCTCATGGGACCTGCAGTCATGCTTGTAACGTCTGGTCTTTGCAATGCCTCATGGGAAATGTAGTTCCACAACAGCTGGAGAGCCGCAGGTTGCCCACCCCTGGCCTAGGCGATCAGACCGGAAGCGGGTACCTGTCAAATTCAGGTACCCGCTCCCCCCCCCCAAAGGTGCCAATCCTTAATGGGCAGCCGGGGAGCAGTCCTTAAAGCGGAACTTCCCCTTTTGGGTGGAGCTCCTCTTTAAGTCTACCCCGTTGTGTATCTATTTACTCTGTGCAACCTGGTCTTCTATATTTCACCAAAAAATCGGGTCATTTATTGCGTTTGCGTGCCCTAAAACGAACTTTACTGTATTTTTTTTTACCGTAATTTTGCGTTTCCTAGACTTCAGAGGTCATATCGCGCGACATGAAAAATTGCACCTACCAATATTTTATTCCCCGGGGTGTTTGGTTTCAGAAAATATATCGTTGTTCGGGGGGTTCATGCAATCTTCAGGCCTAAAATTTTTTTTTTTTTTTTGTACTTGTGTGGAAAAACGGCTCCGGCAGTGAAAGGGTTAATGAATCAAAATGTCTATTTTTAGAATTGCCTCTTCCGTATTAGTGGAAAGCAGGCCTTCCTGTGGCCATTTTTGGTGATTTCCTCCTCTAAGAGATAACTGCCCTCCTTTCTCCGCTTGAAATAAAAAACGTTTTGGCTAGAGTTCCACTTTAAACACCAGAAAATGTTGGAGGATATGTTTGATGGCACATATTCTGTGAGGACATGGAGGTCCAACGCGCCATGGAGGTCCAACGCGCCATGGAGGTCCAGCGCGCCATGGAGGTCCAGCGCGCCATGGAGGTCCAGCGCGCCATGGAGGTCCAGCGCGCCATGGAGGCCCAGCGCGCCATGGAGGCCCAGCGCGCCATGGAGGCCCAACGCACCATGGAGGCCCAACGTACCATGGAGGTCCAACGCACCATGGAGGCCCATGGAGGCCCAACACACACCATGGAGGTCCAACACACCATGGAGGTCTGGCTTATTCTGGAGACACCGATCGGTTAATGGCGGGAAAGGAGCATTATGGGTAACAGGACAGTTGTACAGATCTGTTACAGGAGATGGTCAGAGACTGCAGACATACTACAGGAGATGGTTAGAGGATGCAAACATAGTACAGGAGATGGTCAGAGACACCATGGAGGTCCAGCGTGCCATGGAGGTCCAGCGTGCCATGGAGACCCAGCGCGCCACGGAGGCCCAACGCACCATGGAGGTCTGGCTTATTCTGGAGACACCGATTGGTTAATGGCAGGAAAGGAGGATTATGGGTAACAGGACAGTTGTACAGATCTGTTACAGGAGATGGTCAGAGACTGCAGACATACTACAGGAGATGGTTAGAGGATGCAAACATAGTACAGGAGATGGTCAGAGACACCATGGAGGTCCAGCGTGCCATGGAGGTCCAGCGTGCCATGGAGACCCAGCGCGCCACGGAGGCCCAACGCACCATGGAGGTCTGGCTTATTCTGGAGACACCGATTGGTTAATGGCAGGAAAGGAGGATTATGGGGTAACAGGACAGTTGTACAGATCTGTTACAGGAGATGGTCAGAGACTGCAGACATACTACAGGAGATGGTTAGAGGATGCAAACATAGTACAGGAGATGGTCAGAGACACCATGGAGGTCCAGCGTGCCATGGAGGTCCAGCGTGCCATGGAGACCCAGCGCGCCACGGAGGCCCAACGCACCATGGAGGTCTGGCTTATTCTGGAGACACCGATTGGTTAATGGCAGGAAAGGAGGATTATGGGTAACAGGACAGTTGTACAGATCTGTTACAGGAGATGGTCAGAGACTGCAGACATACTACAGGAGATGGTTAGAGGATGCAAACATAGTACAGGAGATGGTCAGAGACACCATGGAGGTCCAGCGTGCCATGGAGGTCCAGCGTGCCATGGAGACCCAGCGCGCCACGGAGGCCCAACGCACCATGGAGGTCTGGCTTATTCTGGAGAGACACCGATTGGTTAATGGCAGGAAAGGAGGATTATGGGTAACAGGACAGTTGTACAGATCTGTTACAGGAGATGGCCAGAGACTGCAAACATAGTACAGGAGATGGTCAGAGACACCATGGAGGTCCAGCGCGCCATGGAGGTCCAGCGCGCCATGGAAGTCCAGCGCGCCATGGAAGTCCAGCGCGCCATGGAGGTCCAATGCACCATGGAGGTCTGTCTTATTCTGGAGACACCGATCGGTTAATGGTGGGAAAGGAGGATTATGGGTAATAGAACAGTTGTACAGATCTGTTACAGGATATGGTCAGAGGATGCAAACATAGTACAGGAGATGGTCAGAGACACCATGGAGGCCCAGCGCACCATGGAGGGCCAACGCACCATGGAGGGCCAACGCACCATGGAGGTCCAACGCACCATGGAGGGCCAACGCACCATGGAGGACCAACGCACCATGGAGGTCCAACGCACCATGGAGGTCCATTGCACCATGGAGGTCCAACGCACCATGGAGGTCCAACGCACCATGGAGGTCCAACGCACCATGGAGGTCCAACGCACCATGGAGGTCCAACGCACCATGGAGGTCCAACGCACCATGGAGGTCCAACGCACCATGGAGGTCCAACGCATCATGAAGGTCCAACGCATCATGGAGGTCTGGCTTATTCTGGATATGCTGATCGGTTAATGGCAGGAAAGGAGGATTATGGGTAACAGAACAGTTGTACAATTCGGAGAGGCCGTTACCTGTGTCCTCGGCAGGCTTCCTCCTTCCGGGAGTGGGCGTGGATTCGCCGCTGTGGGAGGAGTTCAGGGAGATGAAAGAAGGACAACTGATCAGCTGCCTGCAGTCACCGAAGTGCCGGTCATCACAGGAAGTGTCGTTATCGGGACCCCTTGCTGGTGGCTGGTCTCTGCAGGGAAGAAACACAAGAATTGGGGGAAGGACAACGTTACTTTGCAGGCTTCCAACACAAGGGGGACTTTCTTTATTGCCAGGTTCACCAACACACTGAGATGCCTTTTAGACATTTAGGGAACATTTTCTAAGCCCTTCAGAGAATGAGGAAATCTTAGGAAGTGCCTGTAAATCACTGGTGGTCAACTTACCTGGTATAGGGGCCTTGAATGCAGCCCCTGACGTCAGCAAAGGGCCACACAGAATATTCAGGTAGTGTAATCCTACAGAAAGGTGTCAGAGACTACAGACACGCTACAGGAGACGGTCAGAGACTGCAGACACACTATAGGGGGTTAGAGCCTGCAGACATGCTACAGGAAATGGTCAGAGACTGCTGACACGCTACAGGAGACGGTCAGAGAATGCAAACATAGTACAGGAGATGGTCAGAGACTGCAGACAAACTACAGGAGATGGTCAGAGGATGCAAACATAGTACAGGAGATGGTCAGAGACTGCGGACATAGTACAGGAGATGGTCAGAGACTGCGGACATGGTACAGGAGATGGTCAGAGACTGCAGACATACTACAGGAGATGGTCAGAGGCTGCAGACACGCTACAGGAGATGGTCAGAGGCTGTAGACATAGTACAGGAGATGGTCAGAGACTGCAAACATAGTACAGGAGATGGTCAGAGACTGCAGACAAGCTACAGGAGACAGTCAGAGACTGCAGACACACTATAGGGGGTTAGAGCCTGCAGACATGCTACAGGAAATGGTCAGAGACTGCGGACATAATACAGGAGATGGTCAGAGACTGCAGACATAGTACAGGAGATGGTCAGAGACTGCGGACATAGTACAGGAGATGGTCAGAGACTGCGGACACAGTACAGGAGATGACCAGAGACTGCGGACACAGTACAGGAGATGGTCAGAGACTGCGGACACAGTACAGGAGATGGTCAGAGACTGCGGACACAGTACAGGAGATGATCAGAGACTGCGGACATAGTACAGGGGATGACCAGAGACTGCGGACATAGTACATAGTACAGGAGATGACCAGAGACTGCGGACACAGTACAGGGGATGACCAGAGACTGCGGACACAGTACAGGGGATGACCAGAGACTGCGGACATAGTACAGGAGATGTCCAGAGACTGCAGACATAGTACAGGAGATGACCAGAGACTGCAGACACAGTACAGGAGATGACCAGAGACTGCGGACACAGAACAGGAGGTGACCAGAGACTGCGGACATAGTACAGGAGATGACCAGAGACTGCGGGGACAGTACAGGAGATGACCAGAGACTGCAGACACGGTACAGGAGATGACCAGAGACTGCAGACACGGTACAGGAGATGACCAGAGACTGCAGACACGGTACAGGAGATGACCAGAGACTGCAGACACAGTACAGGAGATGACCAGAGACTGCAGACATAGTACAGGGGATGACCAGAGACTGCGGACACAGTACAGGAGATGACCAGAGACTGCGGACACAGTACAGGAGATGACCAGAGACTGCGGACACAGTACGGGAGATGACCAGAGACTGCAGACACAGTACAGGGGATGACCAGAGACTGCAGACATACTACAGGGGATGACCAGAGAGACTGCGGACACAGTACGGGAGATGACCAGAGACTGCGGACATAGTACAGGAGATGACCAGAGACTGCGGACACAGTACAGGAGATGACCAGAGACTGCGGACACAGTACAGGAGATGACCAGAGACTGCGGACATAGTACAGGAGATGACCAGAGAGACTGCGGACACAGTACGGGAGATGACCAGAGACTGTGGACACAGTACAGGGGATGACCAGAGACTGCGGACACAGTACAGGGGATGACCAGAGACTGCAGACACAGTACTACAGGGGATGACCAGAGACTGCGGACATAGTACAGGGGATGACCAGAGACTGCAGACATAGTACAGGAGATGGTCAGAGACTGCAGACATAGTACAGGAGATGACCAGAGACTGCGGACACAGTACAGGAGATGGTCAGAGACTGCAGACACAGTACAGGAGATGGTCAGAGACTGCAGACACAGTACAGGAGATGACCAGAGACTGCAGACATAATACAGGAGATGACCAGAGACTGCAGACATAATACAGGAGATGACCAGAGACTGCAGACACAGTACAGGAGATGACCAGAGACTGCAGATACATTACAGAGATTCCAGTCCGCTATTTTATTTGACATGAAAAAGTATTGCGGTTGCAACAATGTATCCATTTGTATCCAAAATGGATACAAATGGATACTTTGTTGCAACTGCAAGACTTTTTCATGTAAAATATAATAGCGGAGCTCTCTGCAGGGACAGAAGTAATTATGGGGTTAAATGCCGGCTGCAGACGGGATGAAAACCGGCCGATTTTTTTGCCGTTGGTGGTAACGTTGGCCGATCGAACGACCTATTTTTCATTTTTATAAAAGAACGGCCGGTTTTTGACCCGTCTACGGCCCGCATAAGCTCTGGAGCAACTGTACTTGCGAAGTGCCCAGTCTAGCTGCCGTTAGTAAATCACCCCCATAGTGTGACCCCAGGCTACATCAGCTTTGATAAGTGGGGTCATCCGTTTTCTTACCCAGAATCCTCCTTTGATTTCCTCCTTTGCTTACAGCTTGGCGGCGGGACTTCTGGTGTTTGGCTTTCGGTTCGCCTCTTCTTTTGGCGGTGCTGCAGTTTGCACTTGGTGCCCTCCGGACAGGTGCCGCTCCGAGCGTAGTGCGGGCACAGCAACGTGTGCTTCTTCTTACACTGCGGAGACAACGGACAGGATTACTGATTTCTCATTCCAATAACCAGCCAGTAGATGGAGCTCTAGGCAATCTTTCAGATGTTTAAGTTCTCCCTAGCGCCTCACTTACAGAGCTCAATATCCCAAGCTGAAATGTACACAGACAGGGGCGTGTGTCGGGGCAGTGACTCCTCCCCTCAGAGCTGTCCACTCAACTGGGATTTTTCAGTTATAGGTGGAGCATGGTGTGCTGAGCCAGCTCCCCGCTTCTTATACACCTTGGATGCCCCCCAGTGATATCTGGCTGCCATGACTCCCACTATCCCTGTCTGCCAGGGAGTTCTGCTTCTTCCTGTCCGCCTACTACATTCCTAATATATAAAATGTAAAACCCAGCAGGGATGGTGGGAACCCCTTGTAATGAATGCAGTAGTTATGCAGACCCTGGAACTCGACATGGGGTTGGTGGGAACCCCTCATAATGGGCACAGCGGGTGTACGGACCCGGGAACTCAGCACAGGGATGGTGGGAACCCCTCATAATGGGCACAGCGAGTGTACAGACCGGGAACTCAACACAGGGATGGTGGGAACCCCTCATAATGGGCACAGCGGGTGTACAGACCTGGGAACTCAGCACAGGGATGGTGGGAACCCCTCATAATGGGCACAGCGGTGTACAGACCCGGGAACTCAACACAGGGATGGTGGGAACCCCTTCATAATGGGCACAGCAGGTGTACAGACCCTGGGAACTCAGCACAGGGATGGTGGGAAACCACTCATAATGGGCACAACGGGTGTACAGACCTGGGAACGCGGCACAGGGATGGCGGGAACCCCTCATAATGGCCACAGCGGGCATGCAGACCCGGGAACTCGGCACAGGGATGGTGGGAACCCCTCATAATGGGCACAGCGGGCGTACAGACCCGGGAACTCAGCACAGGGACGGTGGGAACCCCTCATAAT